TATATCGTAGACCCACCATCAAAATCCTATGGCTAAGTGAAAGTGTTACAGCCCTATAGTCCATTGCCTAGTTCGCTGCATTGACACCTCCTTCATGGACCAAGACATTGGGTCAAGAGTGATCAAGTGCTTTTACGAACACCTCCGTATTATATGCGAGGGGGCCGAAGCCGACAACTAGTAAACTTTCAGATTATACAAAAAACGGCCGCACAGGAGGAACCAAAACTTTCAGGCCAAAAACATAGCCTATAATAAATCATTGTTTTTACAATTTCGGTACAATCACTCAAATATCATATCCTTCGAGCACTGACCCTCTATCAAGCGAGCGCCCTCTAGGACATCCTCAAAAAAATGCTCCGGCGTGTGATGGTCCTTGCCCCGGGGTGGACTCTTAGCTGCAATATCGATGGCCTTCATCTTCGCCCAGTACGTCTTGATGCGGGCAAGGGCCATCCGTGCACCTTCAATGCACGTTGACCGCTTAACGGCGTCGATACGCGACACCACATCAACAAGTTGCTGCACCAAACTGAAATAACTATTCGAAATTGGCTCAGTCGGCAACAGCCGGACAACGACGTCCTTCATGACAGATCCAGATATTTTGTGGAGCTCTGCCCACTGGGCCATCTATTCGTTCAGCAACAGCGGACGCTTTGGCATGCTAAATTGCGACCAGAAAAGCTTCTCCGTTGCATGTCCTTCTTGCGCTTGGAAAAACTGCGCCGCATCGGAGACACTCTTCGGCAAGTCCAAGAATGCGTTTGGAGAACTCCACATTTGATTAAGTGGGGCATACTTCGGATCGCGGAACTTAGCCTGTAATAAGAAGGGCTTACCAGCCGCTATCTCCCCAGCTTGCCGGATCTCCTCCCGAGCAGCTCTAGACTCGGATTGTGCTTCTCTCGCCTCTTGTAAGGCCTTGTCGAGATCGGCCATTTTGATTTTGTTTTCCTTCTCGGGGAATTCACATCGGACAGTGGCATCCTTTAGCTCACGCGTCATGGTAGATATTCTCTCCTCGCACAGGCGCCGAGCAGTCTATTCGGCCTTTAACTCAGCGGCTGCCTTCTTGGCAACCACGCTTAGCATCATTGAATTTTGAAAATGAGAGAAAGTTAAATGGGTAGACTTCTTATACCATCAACATTGGGTTATGCACAAACATTTGATTTGTGAAGGCATTTCAGGTTGTAGTTGGAAAGAATCATCTATCTTCTTTTTCTTCTTTGTTTTTGCTTTCTTCAAGCCACCAATGGGCCTTGCTGATCCTCGTGCAGTCTTCTCCTTGACCTTCATATCTTTCGGCCTTTCAAGCCCCTCATTATGTTTTAAAACTCTACTAGAGTCAATGTTCGTACCTGCAACCATAAAGTTAAATGTAAGTCTTAGTTTGAAAATACTGTGTGCGACTAGTAGCATAGTATAACTTGTATGCATATACCTTGTGAAACTGAGGAGTTACCCAAATTCGAGCTTGGATCTGGATCAGTTCTAATTTTCAACTGTTTTTCCACATCTCGTGCTAGCTGCTCCGCGCATTTAGCAGCCATATCATATGTTTCATCTGACTCTACGGCGCAAGCAGTTATCTGGATAAACATTCTGCACAAGTCCTTGTAGAAGGACTTGGCTATGTATAAAGTCAATCATGTGGTGTCTATGTAATGGTTAGGTTATGTTAATATGAATTAGATACCGTGTGTTCTGGCCGTCGGCCATTATTCGAGTTTAGAGAAACCTTGTCAAAAATCTCTACTAGCGTGTGAGTTCTTGCGACGCAACGTGTATGAGAATACAAGCTGAGCCTATATGGTTCGTCCACTTTATTCCTTTAGATCGAGGGGTTGGCGTGTTGTTTTTGCGGAGTTTATGAATTTCTTCACAAACCCGCAATGAGTTCTTGCTGCGATGGATTTTTGTGCCGTGAAAGATCGGGCCAACAACGGACCGACCATCGTCTCGAGGTTCGTTTTACATCATGACGGGGTTCCGATGCCATGGAGGCTCTTCGAGGACGAGGAAGCAGACGGCGACGACGGCTTTGAGGCTGGCGGGGGCGCCGTCTCCGCGTGCGGTGGTTGTGGTGAACGCCGTGGGCTCCAATGCGGCAGCAGTTGTCTCCATCCCCTACAGGCAATTCCCCCTGATTTTCACCCCTTGAAATTGCCATGATTATCCCAGGGAGAGGCACAACCTTTTTTTTGTGAAATTCATACAGATCACTTTGTGTATACTTTGCAGATTGCTTGGCAATTTTTGTATCTATTGATGTTATTGCCATAGCAGGTTAGTTTCCAATGCTTGCCAGATGAATTACCTATATATTTTAGTCCAACAATTCAGTGTGCTCTTAATGCTTTGGTGTCTTTGGTTTAATCGCAAAGTGTGTAGACTTGGTATTGGTTCTGTCAAAATGAATACGACAATAACTTGGTTGGAAAAGAAACTACAACATAGCAGTGGACACTCAGGGAATATGAATGCACAAAAGGAAAATATGGCAATAGAGGTACAACGCACGGGCAAAAATTCTAGGTAGATAGGAGGAACAGATGAACTTTGTTGGACCCTTGTTAGTGTTTTTTTGGTAGTTAGTAACTTAGTGCGTTTGACTCTCTCTTTTATACCATGTGAGTCATATGAGTGGGGAAGCAGTGGTTTGAAGGCATTTACAGTAGCTTAGGTTGCAATCTATGACAGTCTCTTAAGAAACGGCTCAACCCTGATGGATTTGTTTCGACAGTGAAATGCATCCTACTTGATCAAAATTTAGACTACCTGACTGTAAAACATTGACCTTCTTCATTGCTAATTCAAACTGTATGCTTGTCTCACCTCACAGATCAAGATCCGTGGCTTCTTCTAGGTCGTGTCACCTCACCGTGTACGAGGGTTAACTCCACATGAATGTCTCCTCGAGTAAGCAGCACCACCTCCATGGTTGTTTCAATTTTCATATTCTATTTTTGTGTGTGCTGATGTTGAATTCTTTTCTCCATTGCTGACGAGCTACCCACGAATGGATTTGATCTCGACGCATGGCTCTGTAGCACCGACTACCATCCACCACGGCTATGGATCATGTGACGTGGGGCCTAGAACAGATGGATGCAGAAGCCATTTCGCCATGGTCATCACCAGTCGTTCATCCCTCAACACCAAGCGGTTGGACCGAGAACACTGCCAACCATTTTGGTGAGCAAGAATCAATCTCCCACTATGTGCTTAGGCCTCCATTAGGAGTAGAGATTTGTATTAGGAATCAATCTCCTTGTAACATCTGCATATACTTCAGCTAAAAATAAGCACATGCTTTGTATTATGTGCTCTATTTTGAGAATGTAGATTCATTTTAGTTATGTTTTTCATTTTTTAGTAATGTTAGAAGTACTTTGTACTTAGTATTTTATGTTTGTTGTGTGTATTTTTCAAGAGAGCCAATTTACTTAAGCAGTACAATCACTTTTTCTTCTTAAGGATTTACTAGTACAAATGCCCGTGCGTTGCAACGGGCAAAAAAATCGCAAAACCTGCTACACATGCCATTACTCACATTTCTTATATCCATTTATGATCAATGTAGTAATAAATTTAAATTGATTATCATTTTTCGAAGCATGAATTTTGGACATCAAGAAATCACCCTGATGTCCTTCATTTAATGGAAGAGTAGTGGTGCATGGATTAGTCTGATGCAACATGTTTTGAAAACTGTATGATACAACATGTGAAAAAGAAATATCAGATGTTCCTTCCCACAGTAAGCATTACTCAAGACCTACACAAATCCATACGCTCTATTTCAACACACGTCCATTTGTATTGCCGCTTATTATTGCCCTTGCCGCTCATGGCTTTCGAAACGTTCCGCACGGCTAAGCTTAGCACTCGCTCGACCTTGTCGGAGCGTCCACGTCGTCCGCCGGTCAACCACATCGGCGTATTAACCCTGCGAGCTCTTTCTCAAACCTCCTCTGCTAGTTTCGGCGGCTCCTAATGGCTGTTCCAAACAATACATAATTATAATCTAAATTATGTTGCATTTATTTTTTATTTTGAGTGCCTTTTATCAATATGGATTTAAAATTAATGTTAAAGTTATTTAAAAATCCATAATAATTTATAATCAAATAATTTCTCCACCGTACAAAATCTAAAATAAATATTTTACACTTACACTTTGAAAGATTAAACTAAAGCATTAAGTATATGCTGGTCACCTTAAATTCAACCAGAATATTGTTTTCAAAGTCAAGTAATTCTAATATTTTTAGAACAATAGTAGCTTAATTTTGAGTTAAAATAAGTAGGATATTTTTTTCAGTATTTATAAGAGAATTCGTGTACTGCTGGCTGCTGCTGATTTACACGGTGATCACTCATGGTATCGATGTATATATCTGTAGTTAATCTATATTAGCGCGTGCACACATTTACCTTGGGTGTTTCCTCATGGCACCGTACCTGGTGGAGGTAGACCTGGACTGCGTTGAGGTAGAGCATCGTCGCCGTCAAACATAGATGACAATCAGAGCAGTGGAATTACATATGCCTGGGAGGCTGGGAGAAAGACATCCATTGTAGAGTGAAATCTCCTTTTGTTTTTATCTGACAGTAAGAAACAGTGGGGAATGCTGACAATCACACAAAAAAGAGCAAAACCATATTGCATACCTGAGTGTCTGGATGTGACCACGAATTACAAATCAGGGTGGATGATCATGTAGGTTCTCATTCACAAATCAGCATGGTGCGAAAAGCAGAATGAGATAAAGCCTGGAAATAGGAAATATCCGACCAACAAGGAGCGGTCATTACTTTGCTACTGGCTTTGCATACATAACTGAAAGTGGGATCGGTATTACTTAAATGCTGAAAAAAATCTTCTGACAATAGCAGTCATCAAGAAAACATGAACAATTTGTGCATAACTTGGCTATTAGCCTTGGTATGAATTGATTAAAAGTGTTATTAGTAAGACAATTATATTATCAAAAACTCAAAGCTTTTACAAAATAATGGCAAAACTGCGTACACAAAAGACAACTTTCATAACCAGATATACTACACAAAAGACAACTTTCAGAACCAGATATACTATCTAATTGACTTGATTTCCTATGCTTCAACATCATGGACGTAGGGATGGACTCGTACGCATCTAGCCTGCAATCTGCACTTTGCGCAACGCCATTGGCAGCGACACCGGAGCGAACCGCTGTGCAACTTCTCGTCGGCTCTCTTCTTCTATGTCGGCTCTCTTCTTCTATGTCCCAGCTCATGACAACTTGTAGAAGGAATGCTACATCCGTTTTTCCACAACCTAGAATGAAAAATCTTGGTAGCAAAGGAAATGTCGAGGAATGAGAAAGACCACATGTCTCTGTCTAAATGGCATAGTTAGTATTACAATAAACAAACCAGCACCAGCTGCCCTAACTGGACCTTCAAATCAAGACCTAGTTTAATCTGATCGTGCCAAACTAATCAGTCAATTCATGGAACATATAGTCAATTTTCTATAAGGAAACATATAGTTAGATTGTCCGCTCAAGATCGAATACTGCAGTTTGAAGGGACTATCCAATCTACATAAATCATGAACACGGTTTCTACATTTCCTAACTAAAACAACAATGTCTGACCATTGGCTTACGCATACTGTAATACAAATTGCAAACTGCTGACAAGTGTTGACCTGTCATTGGTTTTTGATGACCATATAATATTACTTTGGTGAAAAGAAAATTTCAGTCACAGTGATAGCTCCAGCCTCCAGCCAACAACCAAAAAAGTAGTCTCATTGGTTATAAACATCGAGCAGTCCAAAAAGTTGTCGGCTCCAGAGCAGTATGGAACATCATCATAATCAGATATATCCCGAGAATACTAAAGGTCCAGATGGGATCGAGAGGAAGGGTCGTGCAGGTGGTTGGGTGTGTTTTTCTTTTCTCTCGCATGTACCGCTTCTGGTTCACTTAACATGAGGACTGCGGGTCGACGCGTGCGTTGCGGCGGGAAAACACAACGCCCAAGGTGTGAGAACAAATATGATAAAGACAGAAGTACCCTCAGGAATTCTTGAGCCGAATCTTAGCAAGCCTATCTTTCAACATGGCATTGTCAAGAGATTTGGGTCTAGGGTTCATCCGGAGTGAGGTTATATGTGGATTTGGGCTGGGTTTCAGGGATGCCGACTCGGATATAATTTACCATTTTGTGGAGGAAATGTTCCTAAAAGAAGTCTGATATTTCTTGAGTCGAAACAGATAATTCTCAAATATTTCAGATATCATTAACATACATGTGATTGCAGGAACAGGGTGGGATTTTTTAACCAAAATCAAGCTTGCTCAAATCCCTATTTGATTTGAAAATTTAACTCAAGCCTTGCATAATCACGAGTTTAACTCTCAGATATGCAAGTAGAAGAAAACTTAGACAAACCTTGCAGCGGGCATCCTATTTGAGAAAGTCCTGCCGTGGCGAACCTGAGACTCACACAGACTGATGAGCTCATTTAGTTCAAGAGGTAAATCACCATAAAGTCTGTTTCTTTTAAGAAAGCTGCAATTCAAATAGTAAGGTCAGTCAAGTTTTGAAGTTAAACAGAAATGAAAAAGAAACATATACTCCCTCTGTTCACTTATATAAGACGTTTTAGTAAATTCAGACAGTGTACTAAACAGTTCAAACTCAGCTGTCTGAAACGCCTTATAAAAACGAACGGAGGGAGTATCAAAGTTCGCACGCACATAAATTCCAGGGATAAAATGTTTATTAGCTCTGATGGAATTGGTCCATTGAAGTTATTGTACCCCAGATCCAACACCTTCAGCTCTCGTAAATCTCCCATCTCTCTAGGGATAATACCATAGAACAAGTTCCTGTGCAGTACACTATGGATGGAAGGAAAATAGATCAGAAAATTTTGAAGGGCGAACATCATTTCACAAGTACATAAGATACAAAAAATAATATCTGTAGACATAAGATGCTTTCTTGGTGAGTGCCTGAATGGGCATACATAATTCAACAGATAGATTTACTATGGTATTAACAATAGGAAAACTACATAAAGCACTGGGTGGTATTTGAATTTGATCCATGCAAAATTGTATTCTCAAAAGTCCCGTAGATCCAAGAAGAAACACCTGTCTTGTATCCAACTACACTCCAAGAAAGAACATACACCAAGTTGATTGATGTGCCTTAATTGACAGCTCAAAAGCTGAGGTCATAAGCCTCATCAGGAAAACATACACACTACGAAGTTTCAGCTTTACTACTGTGCTCAACATGATAGCCTATATCGAAGTGCAAAATGACTCTTATTCAGTTGGTAGTTTCAGAAATACCAAATACTATCTTATGGTTGAAAGCGTGAAACATGTTATGTCAAAACCAAAGTGTTCAGAAACAAACGTCACCAGAGGAACTATAGAATATGCTTATAGAAAATGCATATTAGTAAGCTGTCCAACCTCAGGAGATAACATTCCCTTCAGACCAAGATTTGACAAGTTCCTACGAAACAAAGGTAACCACAAATTAGGCAAAAACATCAAAATACATATTATCAATCAGAGCATAGGGAAATGTTGCAAACATAACACATGGTAGAAAACAATGTAAACAGAGCAAACATAGCTGCATAAGATGGGCATCCTATACTGAACAGTTCATGCATGTCAGGGGAACTGGATGTTTAACAAGATATCCCCAACACTGATGCTCCACATAAAACAAAATTAAGATTTGTATCAATCAAGGGGTTCTTAACAACTCAAAATCAGCACCAAAGGAATTGGCAGTATCGAATGAGCCAAGTCTCTTTTTGAAATCCGAAGCCTCCCCCTCCTCCTCCCTCCTCTCTCCGTCCACCGTCTTCTCCTTCAATCACCGCATCCCCGGCGACCCCAAGAATCCGAGGCATGATCCCCCCGAATTGCACCCCAATATTCCTCGCCCCAAATCCCCATGAATCTTGCACCGCATCAAGGGACACAAGAATCACGAATCCACAAGTATATTCATCAACAATCCGGGAAGAAACCCCCAGCCCCAGTGGTCTGGGCATGGACACGAACCCGCTGCTCCCCACCACCGCGTGGCTGCCCCTCCACCCATTGCCGGAACACACGCTGGTCTCCAACTTCGATGCGCCACCCTCATCGCGCTGCCCGTCCCCGACATCCTCCTACAAGGACAACCTCATCTTCAGGCCTCATCACCCATCGCCTCCTCCCCCGCTGCCGCCGCACCACTACCGCCGTGACTTCGATCCAAATCAGAGGCACATGAGCAGGAGGAGTCCGGCCGGCGGCGGCGGATGGCCGGAGAAGTAGATCAGCCGCCGCGTAGATCGGCGGCAGCGGCGGCATCGTACCCATACGCATCGAACGAGCCCGTGCCCGTATGTGCTGCCCGCTAGTGTTTCCTTTTTTTTCTCAGATTAGACATTTTAAAAAGGACTGCGAGTTGAGCCAGCGCCAGCATACAACCGCCCACCTGGATTCTCTCTCGACAATCAACAATCAACACTGAATTCAGCAACCAACATGAATCAAGTCCATGATGGTGAGTTCAGCAGCACATATAACAACTAACAAGAATTACTCAACAACCAAGAACCATCAATCAAATTCAGCAGCACATACAGATGCCTGACCCACGTCCCTCCTGCTTGCAAGTCCATTACGAGTGGTGAATCATGAAAAAAAGAGAAAATGTTGCATCAGAGCAGAGTGGAAGGGAAGGATGGGGGGTTTGAGGAGTTACCATCCCCTGTCGCGGGAGAGGAAGCTGCGTTCTTGTAGGTGCTGAATATGGCGCCGAGGAAGACGGGCACGAGCAGAGGTGTGGAGGAAGACGAGCAGGAGCGTCCGCTAGGGTTCGGAGCCGCCGTCGTCACTGACAACTGCGAGGAGCTCGTGGTGGAGCCAGTGACCCGGCTGCGGCGGGAACGCCATGGCCGACATGCCTCCTCTCTTCTGAAGGCTGCGTCTGCGCGCTCGCACCGCCGTGGCCATGGATCCGCGGATCCTGCCGCCGTGGTCGCTGCGAGGAGGTCGAGCTGGAACCCCACGGGCTTGGTCTAGATACAGCCATGTTGGGAGCACCATGGCCTCCCTTCTCGATATGGGGGAAGGGAAGGGAAGGGAGAGGAGGGGGAGGTCGCCGGTGCGGGGAGGGCGGAGGCCGGCGGTGGGGTCGCGGAGTCGCCTGATGCAGCCGGGGTCGAGGGGGATTTTGAGCACGCTCGCCTAAAGACAGAGGAGACCGGAAGTTGCGTCCATCCGGATCCTGTGAACGAGGGATTCGTTTTTTACCGTACAATAAGAGCCAGGTAGGGAGAGAAATGACCAGAGTTACCAAACTTGTCTGTTTCTTGTCGTAAATGATCAGGAGTACATGTCCTTTAGTGGTTGTTTGGATAGCGGGGATTATCGTTGGATTTTCAGAAAACAAGTTTTCAGCTGATTTTTAGTAAAACGGGTATTACTCTCTTTTTTGTGCAAACCCTGTTTAAGAAAAACTTTGTTTGGGCTACGAGAGGGTGAAACCAGCGAGCGCAGTTCCTTGTTTGTTTTGGAGACCGATTCAACTGATGAGTTGGTTGAGGAAGGAGCGGAGAGAAGAAATTCTGTTACGTCAAGTTTTCTTTAATCCCGTTTTCACAAAAACGAGTAATATTTTTTTTTGAGGAAAGGCCATCATGGCTAGCTTTATTAAAAAATTAAACAGGGATTACATCGTCCACAAGGTTTGGAACTAGGCAGCCCGGAGGTTCCCCCATCCAACAACTAGAAATCTTATTACAAAAACCATGATTAGCTAGCATATGCGTCGCTTGATTAGAAGAACGATAACAATGTTTAAATTTGACCTTCCCGATTGACGAAGACACGTCCACACATTCCGCAAAGATCGCCGCCGCAGCATCCCACCATCTTGTCTGTCCAGTACAATAATCAATTACCGTCAAGGAGTCAGACTCAGCTTCCACTCGAGAGAACCCCAGAGAATTTGCAAAGATTAGTCCATTACGCATAGCCATAGCCTCCGTTGTCACCACATCTGCTACGTAAGGTATAAACCGATATTGTGCCGCCAAAAAATTACCATTACTGTCTCTAAGAACAGCTGCAATGGCTCCTGCACCCTCATCCATATGGAAAGAGGCATCCACGTTTAGCTTCACAAACTTGGGTTCCGGCTTGCTCCATTTATGTTCATGTACAACGCGAATTTTTAAGTTGGCTTGATGAAAATTATTTGCAATTGCCAGGACCGAAATAGGCCATCTCGAGGGAGGTGGCGGTGATCCATCATGGGTGAGTTGACGGCGCACCCACCATAAGTACCAAGCCCCAACCGCTATCACCTGCTTTACATGCAAATTAGGCTTTATAGGGATCGGTCTGGAGTCTGCTAGGATCAGGTGTTCGAGTATGATTGAACCAGAGCGATCAATTAACTTCGCTTCTTCAACAATATCCAGTATACCCAGTCGAAGCCATAATTCCTTTGCCTGTGTACAGTCAAAAAGCAGATGGCGTACATCTTTTGCGTCCTGGTGACAAATCGGACATGAGCCATTGGTACCCACATGTCTATTAGTGAGTATGGATCTTAGGGGGATAATTCCATGAAGTGCACGCCAGCAAAAAATCTGAATCTTACGTGGAACCTGCAGTTTCCACAGTGTAGGCCATACTTCTGATAAGTTTGATCCAGCTGGGCGTGCCAATACATTTGCATGCGTCTGAAAAGATTGAATCCATTGTAAGCGGTACGCCGAACGAACTGAAAAAATACCTCTTCGATCTGGGCTCCAGGCAATAAAATCATCAAATGCATTATGATTAATTGGGATTTGCATGATCCTTATGGCGTCGACAGGATTAAAAATAGAACGGATCAGGGGCTCGTCCCATGCTCCCGTATGAGGGTCAATGAGATCACTGACGACCGAGAGAATAGTTTGACCTCGGTTTGAGATAACCTTCCTATCTTGTTTTTGATAAAACACAGTTTTCCAGTTTGTGAAAACAGAATTATTCTTATCCACGTTTTTGTTGGAGGACCCAAACAAGGTTTTAATCTGTTAGGCGGTTACACGGATTCATGGAAAACCTGTTCGGCTAATCTTACGTATCCAAACAAGGCCTTAAGAAGAATAGTCTGGTAGAGATATATTTTCACACGAAGGAAATTAGAAATAAAGAGAACAAAAAGAGCAGTTCATATAGAATAGTAGTTTTTCAACCAATTTAAGAGCCAAGAAGGCAATCATCTATTTATCACACCCAACAAAGTTTATATTAATTAGCAAAAGGCAGATACAATATCTTAATTGTTATGTATCACATCATCCATACATAGCGGATCACTTTGCTGTGACTACAAAAGTTATACATGGTTGGCTGATTGAACATCACCGAACCAATTCAAGGGAGGTTTTCAGGGTAGTTGACACATATTTTAGAAGTTCTAAATTAGGTTCGTCTTTGCAAGCATCAAGGATGTCTAAATTTCATTATATGCCTACTATTTGTGTTAAACTTATCTTATGATGTGTTTAAGTGTGTGCATTTAATCAAAAATCTGGACTACATAGGTGGGTGCACCTTCCATTCATTCAGTTGGGATATTATTGGTAGTAGATATACAAGTTGGAGTATTACATATCCATTGTGAATAATTTTAGATTATTCCATCGAAGCATTTTCTCCTTATGCAATTTTTATTACATGAAATGACTCAATATTATGACTGCCATGATATATTTCTTCAGAAGTGTATGTTTATTTATTTGTTTTCTGGCACGTTCAGAATTGCATGCATGGTTTTATTGCTATAAAATAGAAAATTAAGTGTTCAGAATTGCATGCATACTTTTGTAGGTGAACATACAGAAAATTCAAGATAAAGCATGCTATAAATTATCAAATCTAATGGTGAGATTTCATTAAGAAAAAAGTTTGC